AGCAGGAAAGGAGATTTTCTGCTTCTACATCTTCCATGGCCCTCTTAGAACAGGCTACAGTTTGCTGGATCTACCCACATATTATTGGTCTTTGGTGTGATGACAAGAAAGTGTGGAGGCCTGTATCTCCTCTTAGACGCTAGATGTTCCTCACCCCAAGAAGGGGAATCATGCACCTTCTTTTCTATTTTGGAACATAAGTAATATTGGCAGCTTCAAATCTGGATAAGTTTTGTTTTCTTCTGTTTGTTTGTTTGCTGTGTTTTGTTTTAAATAACAAAGGTGGTTGTCTGTGTATTTACAGATAGGTTTAAATGTTTTCTTCTTTCTGTAAAGGCTTATTGTAAAAGTTAAATGTCCAGATTATTCTCTGTGGAACTTCACCCTTTTCTCCCAGCACCCCTTTCCACTGAGGAATCTGTTAGCTGTGCCAGCCAGGAGGAAAGTGGCAGTTTTCCAAAAAGAAAAAAAAAAAAAGACCCATTTACTCATTGGTTGATAGAGGAGGAGTGTACAGCTGCTTAGGAACATTTGAATTCAGTCTTCTGGGGTTTGACTTTGCCTTCTCTTCCCCCTAACGTCTGCATGTGATTCTTCACACATGCCCATTCAACCACCTCCTAGCCAATGAACCAGCTCACAGCTAATTTCAAGGTAGTGCGTGAAAACTTAATGTTCTTTATTACTTTTTACATTTGCCAGAGCGGTATACACTCACTGGAGAGAGACCGCAAGAGAGAGAGAGAGAAAGAGAAGAAAAATGAGAAAGTATCCCCCGCAGGGGGGTGGGGTGGCCACACCATAATCCTGTCATTTCTCCTTTTGGGATTTTGGGCACACATGCAAATGCACCGAGTGTTTTTCAAGCCACTGGGCCTGGGATTCAAACCATGCAGTTGGCCATGTGGGATCCAGTCACCTAACCACCATATCACAAGCTGGCCCCTGAATGTTTTCAATATAGGGTATTAGGTCTTGATGGAAAAATGATCTCCGCTATGAAAAATTACTATGTCTGTAATTTCGGAACTGGTTGTGAAACTGTGGACTCTAGAAACAGCACATACTATTCTCTCATAAGGTCATTGTTTTTAGCAGCTAACAGTTTGGAACCGAGACTTTTAAACCACCCCCAGTGATCAACACTAGAGACAGGCATTCCTTTGACAAGAATTCCTAAGGCGAGAATTTTATAAATGGAGTAATAAGAATGAGGCCCAGAAAGACACATCCACAATGTTCAGGTGGTTTGTGCATGTAATAAAAGCAAGGTTAAGGCTTTTTTTTCTGAAAAGTAGACCCTTTGTTAGATAAAACACAGGACCCCAGATAAGTTTGGATTTCAAACAAACAGTGAATAATACTTTTGGTGTAAATATTTTCTGAATATTACATGGGACATATGTAATTGTATTTGTCAAATCTGGCGGCCTAATTAGGTTTTCAGGATAGTTGCAGCATAATTCCAGCTAGTTAATATTTGCTGAGAACTTCCTGCACTAAGGTTAGGCTCAAAAACAGCCTCAGAAGCTGCAGGACAAGGCCTTGTGTGGGTCTTTTTCATCATTGTCCCCAGAGCCCCAGCACAGTTTCACAACTGGTGCTCAATAAATACTTTCTGCAAGTTAATCAAAGACATACAACAAGTGTGGAATATGGTGAACTTCTGATGCTTATAACCTAGGTGGGAACGCAAGCTCTGCTGTAGAGAAAGACATTGTGGCTAAACCTATCTCATCTTGGATTTTTAGTGGTTAAATTCACTAAATAGATTAGCCAATTTATAGAAAGAATTTAGATTCTAAATATGTGAGAGGTTATACCCACTTAAATAATATTAAGAGTAAACAGGAAATTGAACAATAGTCTTTCTGAATTTGATGTAATCTTTTAATTTATCTGATTTAAAACTACCCTACTAGACAAAATGTCACCTACCTTCTTTTTAAAAAGATTTTTTTTTTAATTGTCAGAGGGCACATGCATTCACCAGAGAGAGAGAGAGAGACAAAGAGAAAGGGGGGAAGAAAGCACCACAGTGGAGCATGGTCACACCACAAACCCTTCTCCATTTCTCTGTCCCGTCAGGATTTGGGACGTGCATGCACATGTGCCTCGTGTGTTTTTCAAGCCACCATCGCTGATTTCAAGCCCCAGTTAGCCACGTGGGATCTGGCTGCCTCAGCCATTAGGCAGCAGGGACGGCCCAGCCTACCTTCTATCATCTAATGTTCTAGTCAAATAAGCCATGTATTTTTTTTTAAAAAGAATTATTTTATTGAACTTCATTTATTTATTTACTTATTTTAATTTGACCAGAGAGGCACAGAGCAAGAGAGAGAGAGAGAACGTGAGAAAGCAAGCCACCAGGTCTGGGACCTGCCAGCTCCAAGTCATGTATTTTTAAGACTTATTTTTGACAGGGTTGAATTTGATCAAGTGGGAAATAGTTGTGCACTAACTGTCCAGGTGTAACATGAGGGCTTCCTATAAAGTAGAAATTATTGTACGCTTGATCTGCATTTTGCTTCTAAGGAAATGATAACTCATTATAGTTCTTCATTTATAAAAGTAGTCAATACAAAAGCTAATTATTATATATAATATTGTTCAGAGTATAAAAATTAGGCATACAGAATTTGTCATTGTTAGAATTTGTTTTATTTATTTATTTTTTCAAAATATAATGAGAAAACCAACAATGCTGGCTGCATGGCACAGTGGTTGTGTGCTGCTGAGGAGAAAAGCCAAATTGCACTTTGACCGTAGATCGAATCCCAGCCCAGTTGACCTGAAACACAGCAGACATATGCATGAGTACTCAGGACCCAGCAGGCTGGAGGGCTGGAGGCGGGGGGCTGCGACGCAGTCAGACAGATGGGGGTGCTCATCTCTCTCACATGCACGTGCATGTACACACACGCTCTATCATGAGTAAAGGAGAAGAAAAAAAACTGAAAAATATCAACCTCCAAACCAGGCAAATAAATGTAATACAATCATAAGTTCATCAAATCTCAGCATTATAAGACCTTAAATAGCATGTATATTGAAGATAATATATTCTTTCTTCTTCAGAGGAAAACCTGAGTAATGATAGAAATTTTTTGTTTGTTTTGAAGAGAGGTTTTTGCTATAGGGTGCATGCACTTTCTGGAAAGACAGAGACAGAGAGACAGAAAGCAAGAATCACACACACACACACACACACACACCCTCCCCGAGGGGGGGATGGCTACACCATAATCCCTTCTCCTCCAGTCTCCTCCCAGGATCTTGAACACACACACACATGCGCCCGGAGTGAGTTTCAGCAGCTGGGTCTGATGCCTGAACCAAGGTCGATTTTCTGGGAGTCCAACGATGTAGTGTTGTTACGCCATCTGCTGGTTCCATAATGATAGAAATTTCTAAAAAACAAAAACCCAATCATTCTTTCTTCTTTGTAACACTGACTAAAAACCCAATCATTCTTTCTTCTTCTTTGTAACACTGACTAAAACAATCCTCTCATTTTTCTGACTTGCTTGAAGTGCTACTCAGTACCATTCAATCTTAGTAAGTTGTCTCCAGGCAGTAGTATAGCCAGAAGAATTGAAGTCCCAAGAAAAAGAAAAGATCAATAAATTTGACTACACACACACACAGACACACACACACACAAAACCAACATAAAAAACACATACACACAAACTATGTGGCAAGCAACACCATAAACAAAGTCATAAATGACATGATTCACAGTGTTAAGGGACAAAGAACTGATAGGAAGAGGCCTTGTATGTAAAGAGCTTCTGTAAAGTGAAAGACCAACTATACAATACGAAATGGTAAAGAGCGCTAATGGGAATTTTTTTAAAAAGAGGGCCTCCAGCCCTCCAGCCTGCTGGGTCCTGAGTCCTAAATATAATGAAAGCTGTATAATATCACACATAATAGAAATTAAAAACAAAACAGAGTATCACATTGAAATACCCCTTTGTATCTATCAGCTTGGCGGAAATCCGTATGTTTTGATAGCACATGCTGTGGCAATGTTCCCAAGAACCTGGAACTCCCATTTCCTGCTTGTGGGAGTATAGGCTGCTGGGATCATCTCTGGAGGGCAATTCGGTCATGTCTGTCAGTATCACAAATGCCATACTGGTTGACCAGTCCTTCCAACTCTAGAAAATAATCTCACAGACACATTGTCACAAGCAAGAAATTAAGTCTCAGGTTATTCATTGCTGCACCATTTGGTTTGTAGTAATAAAATATGGAAACCATCCAAATACCCATCAAAACAAAACTAGTTGAACGTTTACATTATAGTATATCCATACAGTGGAACATTTTTTGCAAGGTTGAAATGAATAAGAAAACTCTATACTGATTGGGTTTGCCAAGAAAAACTTGAAAAGACAAGGTGTCTAATAGTGTGGAAGGGAGGATTAAATAAAAATATACATATTTAGAAATTTACTTCTACTGGGGACCAGCAGTTAGCATAATGGCTATGTCGCTGGACTCCCACGTAGTCCACCACGGTTCGAGTCCTGGACCTAGTGGCTTAAAACTCATGCCAGGCGCATGTGCGTGAGTGCCCAAGATCTTGAGAGGAGAATGGAGGAGAAGGGATTGCGGCGTGACCATCCCCCCGGGCGGTGATTTCTCGCTTTCTGTCTCTCTTGTCTCTCTCTGTCTGTCTGGTGAGCGCACGCACCCTATAGCAAAAAAAAAAAAAAAAGAAAAAGATAGAAATTTACTTCTACTGGTATAAAGAACCTGACAGGACATACCAGAAACTAACAGAAATGGTTTTATGTTTTTAAACTCTTTGCCATAGGGCATGTGCGCTTGTCAGAGAGAGAGAGGTGAGAGAGAAAGTGAGAAATCATGCCTCAGGGTGAGACTGCACCACAATCACTTTTTCCTCCATTCTCCTCCTGGGATTTTGGGCAATGCACACACACATGCCCCGTGTAGTTTTCAAGCTGCCAAGTCCAGGACTCGGCCCATGTGGGAGTTCTGCATCTTAACCACTGTGCCACCTGCTGGCCCTGCTTTTCTTTTTTAATACCTGTTGCCAGGTATTAAAAAAGAGAGGATGGATACTTGAGAGCGATAAGGACTGAGAGAGGAAGCAGGATTCTTTCATATACATTTCGCGTGTGTATGTATTTTTTCAGCCCTGTGGGTTTTGCCTATTTGCTAATTAAATAGTGAAAAAAGAAGACTGGCATGTGCCTCCATACAGAAGCAAGACAGAGCTTGAACTCTTGAGAGGCGTTCTGGGATCAGACTGCCAAGTGTGTAGAACTTTAAGATAGGGAGGGGTGAGGGAGCTGCAAAGACACCTGCTGACCACTGAGTGGCTCAGGAGCTGGCAGGGGGAGGAGTCAAGCCAGGTAAACAGGGATGATTATTCTCCAAGTCTTAGAATGAGCAACCACTGCCACAAAAATCCTTCAGAGGAAGAGGAGAGTGGGCTGTGTGCAACCCAGGGGTAGAGCTGGGGTAATTTTCAGGAGCCAGGTCCAAGTTGGCAGAAAGAGGGTCCGAATAAAGAGACGTCATGGAATAAGCAAGACACACATTTTCTAGAACCCAGACTGCGTTCTCTGGATAAAACAAACTGAAATGCAACATGGCTTCCTTCATCCAACTTATTTCACCCTGTGCTTTGTCCTCCATCTCCTAACACATCTTTTTTTCATTCTACTCATTTATTTTAATTTGACCAGAGAGACACATGCAGAGAGAGAGAGAGCGAAAGTGAGAAAGCAAGCCACCAGGTTTGGGACTTGAACCATGGTAGGCCATGTGGGGAGTGCCCAGCACCTTAACCAGCACGCCACGTAACACATCTTTTTTAGGAAGTCGTAGTCACTTCCTACAACTTATTTGTCCCCAATAGTCTTATTTCTAAACAGAGCTTTTAAGATCCCCCAAAATTACTCAATTTGGAGTAACAAGACTTGGATTTGTTATCCTGTGAACAACTATGTGATTTTGGTCCAAAACACTTAGTATCATTATTATTTTTTTTTTTTTGGAGAGGTCTTTTCGCTATAGGGCGCGTGCGCTCGCCAGACAGACAGAGAGAGACATAGAGACAGAAAGCGAGAAATCACCACCCAGGGGAAATGATAACGCCACAATCCCTTCTCCTCCATTCTCCTCTCGGGATCATGGGCATGCACGCACACGCGCCCGGCGTGAGTTTTAAGCCACCGGGTCCGGGACGCGAACCGCGGTCGACTACGTGGGAGTCCAGCGACATAGCCATTACGCTAACTGCTGGTTCCCAGTATCATTATTTTTAATTTTCCAGAGGGTATGTTGTATTCACCAGACAGCAACAGAGAGAGGGAGGGAGAGGGAATGTGAGGAAGCACCTTCATGGGGGATGGCCACACCATAATCTTTTCTCCTCCTCTCTCCCTTTCTTTAGGATTTCGGGGACACACACACACACACACACACACACACATACACACACACATCCGGCATGTTCTTCGAGCATCCTGATGGGGACTCCAGCTGCACAGTTGGCCATGTGGGCTTCAGGTGTCTTAACCAGCAGGCCACCAGCTGGCCCAACATTTAATATCTTTAGACTTCCATTTTGCTACCTATGAAATGGGGAAAATGAGGGCTGCTGTACACCACTGACTTTAGCGAGGCTCAGGTGTGGCTCTGGAAACAGGTGAAGGGGCTGATGCGGTGGCAGTTTCACATGTACACTAGTCAGTAGCCATGAATGCATGTTCTGCCCATGGATGAGAAGGCTCTGCATTGTTTACTCTCCACAGAGGGAGAAGTAGCAGGGCATGAGAAAACATCACAGTTGGCAAAAGCCCCTGACTTTTGATAGAAATCATTAGATTTACTTCTACACTACATGTGTAGGAGAAGGCTGAGTAGGACACGCAAAGACTGCCTAAACAACCTTAACTAATATCATTAGCTTAATTAGTGCTATTGTAATTTCTTATTAATAATAATAACCATTTTAATTATCACTAATACAAAATTTATTCTGGTTGACATTTATTAAGAGTTTACCTCGTGGCCAGACCTTGTGCTGTTTCACGTACATGTTTTCATTTAATTCTCATAAGAGTCACGGAAGGCAGCCACTGGTATTAAAATCATATTACAAATGCGAGGACTGAGAGGTTAAGACATTTGCTCTAGGGCACAGAGTTGGCAGCTGGCAGAACCAGGATGCGTGGTGTTACTCTGCCCTGGTCCTCAGCTCCTTAACGTCTCTATTTGTCCAGGGTCACACAGGTCATTGGCTTCTTCAAGGGGACATACATTTAATAGGGATGGTAAGGGGCGAGAACATTTGTCTGTCTCTACAGTCATTGGTATCAATATTGTTAGATTCATCTTACAGGACAAACAAGGGTGCCTGCCCCCAGATCTAACTCAGCTGAGGTTTTAAAAAACATCTCTGCTGTTCCTATAGCCCAATCCAACCACTTGGGCACTGATGTTGTTCTAAGACTATCTCAGCACCTGGCTCCACCTTTGACCCCAACAGACACTTGACTGACTGCCCAAATTTATGAACTATTACGGGCATGGTAAATTAGTTCAAGTGAAAATACTTCAGGTTCACTGTGTAAATGTCAAATCCTACACTATCCCAGATCATGAGAATTCAAGGACAAATGTGAATAGAGTAGCCCCTCCAGAGCTCCCATCTGGTAAACCAGAAAGACACATCAGCAAATAACTATAATTAACCTACATTTTTTCTCTTTTTATTAACATATAATAATTGTAGGCCAGCAGGTGGCCTTGTGGTTAAGGCGCTGAACTCCCACCTAACCAACCTCGGTTCAAGTCCCAAACCTGGTGTCTTGCTTTATCAGTTTCCCTTTCCTCTCTCTCTCTCTGGTCAAATTTTAAAAATTATAATAATAATAACAAATAAATAACTCTTTTAAAATAGCCATATGGTAATTGTACACATTTGTGGGGATACAATGTGACTTTTCAGTATAAGAATAAAATGCGTAATAATTAAATCAGGATAATCAGCACACTCATCATCTCAACTATTTGTCATTACACATGTGGGGAACATTCAGAATCCTCCATTTTCATTATTTTAGATACATAACAAGGCTTTCCATCTATATTCTCCCTACTGTATTGTATAATACTAGAAATTGTTCTCTAATATTACTTAGTGTTCCCTAGATTTGCCTCAGTATTAAAATCATCTCAGATACTTAAAAAAAAAAAAAAAAGACAAAGAAGAAAAAGCGAACAAAAACTCCTACATTTTCTTGGGTTTTAGACCAATTGAATCAGAATTTCTTGGAGAGAGTCCTGGGAATCTGTATTTTTAAGAAGTGCCTGAAGAGAATCTAATGTTAAGAGTGAGCTAGGAAGTAAGATATCAGTAAAA